CCACCGCACCGTGCACTCGTCTAGTCCACTGTCCCGGTATTTGGTATCTTGAACTCGCTGTTTTGATTTGTGTGTGTGTGGTGAGGGGATTTATCAGCGTTGTTGCAGGAAGATAAGTAATGGCTTGGCCAAATATTAAGTCACGTTACCTAGTATGTGTAATATGTTTACCTAACGTGAGCCTGGTAGTGGTGGCTGTGGTATGGATGCACTAAAAGTGGCGGAGAAGCTGGAAGGCCTAGTCTTAAAACGACAGGTATAATGGGATATTTTAGTTTTGAGTATTTTTCAGCAGTTTTAATTGTGTGATGTGTTTTATTTATTTATTACAACCACTGGGTTACTTTTAGCAAAAGTTACGTTCTTGTATCTGCCTGGTAGAATCCGCCGTTGGATCTTCCACTAGCACTGTATATATGCAAATAAATACTTTAAATGCTTGCTACCAGAGCAAAACCAGTTCTGCTTACTTGTAATAGATGAATATTTTACTGAGTAAACCAGAAATAATCCTTTGTTTCTCCACCTGCCCGAAGCGATTTCTTTCATGCAAAGCAAACTGTGGAAAAAATGTACTTATTAACATCAAAAAGACAAAAGTTAATCAAGTATAAACTGGCAAAAAACCATGTGCTGAAGCAGTTGCTTTTGACTTTCTGTCAAAAAAAGGGGCCCTTTCYGTGCCCCTCCTGCTTGCAGGCCAGCTCGGGCAGTGCCACTGCATGCCAGGCTAAATACGCTGCAGCACCGAAGGCCGTTTGATGTCGTAGCCTTACTGCGCGTTGCTGTTCGGTGTCTGCTTCAGACTTCTCACTTCTCGGCTGAAGAGGATGTTTTTGTTATACATGTAGATAGATTGCAACAAAGGTTCAAAGACCTCCTATGAACAGGACAGAACAGCGGCCAAGGAATGCGCTTAGTGAGGGAGAAGGCTCTGCTGCCTGGAAAGACTCCTGAAAATGAAGGTTGCTGCTGCTTTTTGAGGAACTTCCTTGCATGGAAATGAGAGGAGAGGAAAAAAAAAAAAGAAAAAAAAAAAAAAACCCAAACCAAAACAAAAAACAACCACTGCCGTGTGACAGTTGTCTGAACTCGAGTGTGGAAGACTAGCGTTCTCCTCAGGAGGAGAAACACCTTTTATTTATCAACAAGCTATTTTTCCTCCCTTGTATTTCATTCAAGGGAGGGAAGTCTCAACGATTACTCACAACACTCGGCCACCCTTCTCTCTAGCACCTCACCAGCGTTCCTCCCCGTGCGTTTCATGCCCTAGTTTTTGTTGAAGCTAACTGTTCCTAAATGATTTTCAACTATGAAGGAAAGAAATTTCCATTGGAYTTTTGGATTTTTTCTATTGTTGCTATCTTAATTTTTTTACTGCTTATGTGTAAGTTACATAGATGATGATACAGATAAAATGCAGACCATTTTTTTTCCCCCCCAGAGATAAGCTAAGTTACTGTGTTTGATCCTTTGACTCCAGGCTATGGTGGCTTGTTACCCAGGCAACGGCACAGGATACGTTCGCCATGTTGATAATCCAAATGGAGATGGAAGATGTGTTACCTGTATATATTATCTTAATAAAGACTGGGATGCCAAGGTATGCAGTTTTCTTTAGCTTTCTTTACATGTATTCTGTTAATATACCTTTGCTGCATGTTCTTATTTCCATGCCTTAGCTGTGTTCTTAGATTACTTTAATAATTGGTATCCTCTGTGATTTTCTGTGCTGAGAAATTCCGCGGATGAAGCATTTACTGTCATAGTTTTGATAGGTGCTAGCAGAATCTTTTTGACAGGTTAAGGAAACTTGTATATTTTTYATGTATGTTTTCATTATACAAGTGAGTATCTACTGGTATCCAGCCTTAACAAATATCTAATAATGCAATTTATTGTATAGCTGTTTGTATGATGAACACCTCCCTCCCTCTGCTCATATTAAGAGCAAATGAGTAATATTTGAAAGAGAATGATTTTATTTAGTTAACTGTTTATGTAGYTAGACTAAATATTTCAATATGTTTATAACAATAAAGGTAGTGTAGTTTAGGAGCAGTTTCAAACAAGCAAGTGCTGCAGCGCTTGCAACMTCAGTATAGTTCAAGGTTATGCAAGTCTTTGTATTAGCGTAGACACAGAGGGTAGGAGAGATAAGCCTTTATGACCCAGGTCAAGTGGTCTGAGAAGTTACTACCAGTGATTTGAAACTCTCCTTAGAAGTTGCGCCTATGATAATGACCCTTTTAATTAGGATTATCCTAGCAATTCAGTGGGATTAGGTAGATTTGAAGAACAGATGTAGTTAGCTGGACGTATTGATAGCRGAAGAGAGTATGCAAAGATAACTGTGTTTATTCCTTGCTTGCTCTGCAGCTGCCTGTGCAGAAGATTATTCTATATTGCATATAAAAGACAAGGAAAAAGTCCCTACTGGTCCCCTTCTGTRGTAATTCTTAGGAAGTCAAATGTGTAAGAGCACGTAACGAGGCAGTTCGCTCATGAACCAAGTACCCTTTCTGTGGATGGTACAAGTTGCAGCCAAGGGTGATTGTTTTTGTTTTTGAGCACTGCCTGTTTCTTAAAGCAGCCCGATGAGCCAATGAAACTGAAAAGATTCTTGCATGAAACTGGTAGTTCTGAAGGCTGAGTCAGAAATGGATGTGCTTGAATCTTTCTGCTTCTCGCTGCACTGTGTAAAATGTCAAATTTGATCTTTCACTTAGAAAATAAATACCATCTGTCTGTGGATATAAGTATATTGATTCGACTGAAGATCTTTAAATGCAACTTTGGGACGGTTTTAAGTAGACTTCATTTTTTTCTCCCAGAGCAGCTGAAAAAATATTCTGAGACTAAATGTCAAACAAATTGCAAATTGAAAATAATTATGAAAGATTCACGAGGATAATGTTTGAATTACAAACGGAGGTACATAATTGACTGCAAAACATATTTTTAATTACAGCATATTATCAATTATCATATTATATTGACTGGTGAATAAAGAAGCTCAAACTTTCTTCAGGTTGATCTAATCACAAGCTGATCTAATAGGAGTTGTTTGTTGATTTTGATCTCTGTTAAAAATCAGTCATTAAATCAACGTACCTTGCTAGTATTTGCACTGTTGACTTCACATTGAAGTACTAGAGTGCTATCTATAATTAGAAAACTTAGATTTAACGTCATTGGCAGGAAGAAGTTAACATACTTTAAAAATAGCTAACCTGGTCTAATTTTGATGCATTCTAGACATGCATCATTGTCCACCTGTTTATCAAAGCCTGGAAGAGATTTACATTGACTTAAATAGCATGAATTCAGGACTGAGATTGAAYTTACCTAGTTTTTCTTCATCTTAATCGCAGAATTACAAGAATATCACATAAGACTTTGACTGCAGTTAATTTTTTAAGCCATCTGTTTACTTAAATCAGTTTAGCTTTTTTTTTTGTAAATTAATAATGTAGTTAAAAACACTTTTACAAGAAGTAATGGAGATTTAGTATTTGTAAAGCTTTCTGAAATTACTCAAAAATATGTAAGACTGTTAAATGAAATGCATTGTCAGGAAAAAAACACTTGGTTCACAGTTTCTTTACCATCTGATAAAGAGTTTTATTTCAGTGCCTGAAACATTTTAACTATGATATTCAGTGCTTGGAAAAGAATAAGTTTCATTACATTTTTAAGTACTGGTTTTAAATATCTAATTTTTAGGTAAGTGGAGGCATCCTTCGGATATTTCCAGAAGGTAAAGCCCAATTTGCTGATATTGAACCCAAATTCGATAGACTGCTATTCTTCTGGTCTGATCGCCGCAACCCTCATGAAGTGCAGCCAGCATTTGCTACAAGGTAGGACTCGTGGATTCATGTGCACTGCGTGAAGCTTCTCTCCTCATGCGCTGAGGAAAATCCTAATGAGAAATGAGTGAAACAAACAGGTGACCACCTGATCCAACATGCCTTCAGATAAAGCTCAAGTGTACCATGCCAAGGCTTTTATTTATTTATTTATTTATTTATTTATTTATTTTTCCCTCTAATAGTGGTATTTCAGTTCTGTTTGAGCTGCTGAATTTGTATAGATGTTTATCGGTTTATCTTCTGAATAAAATACTGTCTTGAAACAGGGTGAGTAGGAAGAATACTGGAAACAAAGGAACTCGTGAGTGTTACGTTGTACAGGAGCAGTGGGAGCACACAGRGCTGGGCAGAGACTCCCCTCTAGCCAAGGGGAATCGTTATTTCTGCACAGTAGGGTTCTCCTGTGGCCCCTGTCCTAMATCTGTAACTTACTGCTGTGTTTTAAGTATTGACTAACTACTGCACTTTTGTGTTCCCTTTAATTGGAAGGGAATTCTTGAAACAATCATTTTCCTTTTTTTGTTTTTATTTTACAAGTGACCCAGTTTGAGAATTGGGAGAGGTCTGCTGAGCGAAGTGGCCATTGATAGTCAACTCTGCCTTGTGCTTGCAGTGTTACAAGAGTTACTCCTGCTCTGACTCGCAGATGGGGCTTGACTTGATACCTCCCTTGTGACTTTGTTTAGGGCAAAAAAATGCTGAACGTGCTTGTGTTCCCTACCCAAACCTATTGAGTACTGTTACCAGATAGTGTTAATGGGTAAATCAACGGGGTCATTAATCCAAACTTCCTGGGGCACATGTGATAACACGTTTTGATGGTCAGAGCACTGAACATCCACTCAAGCAGTGAGATAACACAAGGACCAGTGCAAGAAGTAACCTGAGAATTGCAATCCCCGTGTCCTCTATCTTGGATACTCCTGGAAGACTGTGCTGCTCTGCCCTCCCCTCTGTACCCTGAGCAGGGTCAGGGTACAAATGCTGTTTACCAGCCCTTTAGCTTTGCATAAAGAGCCTTATCAGCTACTTAAAAGTATTTACTCGGTAGTTGGCCTTTCATATCACAACCCTCTGGGCCGTGGAAAGCTGGAGCATCTCTGCAGGAAAGGGAAGTTATTTTTCCCTTATGGCAACTTCTTGCCGTGTGACTCAGTCATGGACTTGACTGAGTAAAGTGAAAAATGAGGTGACAGGGTAAGGTGATGGGCCTGGAAACTGCGTGCTCCTTGGTACAGCTTGGGGGCAAAAACCATACAGCAAGCCATCAGAAAAGTGGAAATTTACAGCACTTTCAGTAACTTCTTGGTAAGTGTAGTCTGAGTAGTCTTTCAGGACCTGTTCAGACTGCTCTTATTTAAAAGAGAAACACTGTTTACCCGTTATGGTATCTTTATCAAACTGCACAAGTATTGTCTCTTACAATTTGAGGTTTTTTTTCAGTGCTTCTTTATAGAATGTCTGTTTTTTTCTTGGTGGTTTATGAATTCACTATTTTTTATCCGTTTCCCTTAGGTACGCAATAACAGTGTGGTATTTTGATGCAGATGAAAGAGCACGAGCTAAAGTAAAATATCTAACAGGTAAAGTCTTGCAAATATCTTCTGTGTTGTTGTTTTGTAGAAAGAACTGAGTGGTCCCAACTCATCTCCTTGGCCCACCAGTGCATGAAAAGGGGGAGAGAAAACAAAACAACTTGTATAATCGGGTTTCACAGGGAAGGCGATCCAGTAGTTAAGTTGTTAGTCGCTGACTTGGGAAATCCAGGTCAATTCCGTGTTCTGCACACACTTCCTTTGGGACCTGAAGCTAGGCAGGCTTTTAATACAGGGATATGGCTTCTCCCTGGACCTGGGTTGCTGGTAGGTGTGTTCTGAGGGTAAATGCACCAGACGTGGTGAGGCCCTGCAAACTGAGAGCTGCGAAAGGCTCTTTAATAGAGTTATTTAGTAGTCAAATTCGACTTGACTTGACTTGAGTCTCTGTATTTGAAAAACAGAAGCCTAAAATTAAAGTTTGGAATCAAAGAATGGAGTTACTTCCTCCAAATCCACATATCTAGCATCTGTTTTCCTTTGCTGGCTTCTCCCTCCAGAGGAAGTTGAGCTAATTTTCCTGTTCAAATTAGCATTATAAGGAGAAATGGCGTAGGGTTTCTGTCCTACTTGCAAATGCTGTCGCCACTGTGCATGCTACAGCAGCTCATAAGCACGCTGAAATAGGTGCAGCACCGGCATCGCAGCTCCAGGTACGCAGAACTTCTTGGTGAAACTTCTCGGCAGTTTCACCAGGCTCTCCACCTTGCGTCGCTCTGAGGCCACGAGCCAGCCCCGATCAGATTTCTGCTGATGGCGGCTGGGTCCCCTGGACACTCCCAGYACGATCGAGCAGATGTGAAAACGACATTCACTTTTGGGGCTGTCAGTGACCTGCCTTTCAGAAGGAGCAGGGGAAACTCAACTTGTGTGTGGCCAACAGAAGAGCACAGAGCGGGCTCGACCGGGCCATGGGAGCCCTGGGCCAGGTTCATGGGTCCTGGGCCCGACCTCCAGCCGGGCCCACGGCCCTGCGCCCAGGCTCGTGGCCCCGACCTCCAGCCGGGCCCACGGCCCTGGGCCCAGGCTCGTGGGGCTGTGGCCCCGACCTCCAGCCGGGCCCACGGCCCTGGGCCCAGGCTCGTGGGGCTGTGGCCCCGACCTCCAGCCAGGCCCCAGGGACTCTGGCCTAGCTTTGTAGGGCTGTGGGCCCAACCTGCAGCCGGGCCTTGGGGCCTCTGGGCCCCGGCTCGCGCGGCTCCATGGCACACGTGCTGTGCGGCGCTTCCCAGGGTGCCGGCAATGCCGGATGCCTCCGGCACAGCCCCTCTGCCGGGGCCAGTGTGCGAGCCGGGCTCCCCTGCACGTGGATGCCACGGGGCAGTGTGGCTGGCAGGGGCCACACCAGYGCAGAGCCGCTTCCGCGTGGCGGCTGATGGCAGTTCTGGACGTTTTAATGGTTGTTAATTGAGTCATTTAGTAGAAGGAAAAGGAAGGAAAAAAAAAGAGGTGATTTTTAGCAGCAAAAGATAGAATTTTGTGTTAGAATTTTTTCCCTGTCTCTTTACAAATACTCTGAGACTGCATATTCTGATCCAAAATGACAGATCCTCAGAGGATGTAAGAGGATCAAAGCATGGACCCTCCCGTGGGTATTTTCGGAGGTCACTTGTGTATATATGATATCAAGTATCCATTTTTAAATTTGGGCATCTGTTTACAGAGATGAAGAGTGACTGTAGCTCATTAACYTGAATCCATGATACAGCAGTTGTACTGAAATGTACACATTTCAGAGGCAGATCATCCCTTCTGGCCAACTTGAAAGATACTTTTTTAAAACTAATCTTGAAAGTTGTGTTGAAATTCTATAAATTATGCTCTTATAAATGCCAGATAGTAATGCTGAATAATAATACTGATTTATTTTTCGTATTTTTGCAGGTGAAAAAGGTGTGAGGGTTGAACTGAATAAACCTTCTGACACGATTGGGAAAGACGTTTTATAAGCCTTTGATTTAGCAACTCCTCTTGCTATTCTCCCTGATAAATCTTGATGCTATCTATTAACTTTTGAATGTGAATAACAAGATAAAGGAAAATCAACAACAAACCAACATTTTAATAAAGAAGCAAACAGTGTTTCAATGTTGCATCAAATAGAAGATTTTTTGACTGCTGAAGCATTGTACTATGTGATTGTGACTCCAGGCCTGTGACTGCTTATGTGAAGAAGATAAGCAATCAGTAAGAAACAGCTTATGCATCTGGACATGAAATAAGTGCCCTACATAGAATTTGTCCATCCTTATATTTTGCCAGACCTGTCATCCAGCTGAATCCAGTTCATCTTTCCCTTTTTTTATATGGTAAAAATTGGAATTTTGGGTAATTTTTGTATGACCAGGTACAGTTTATCAAAACTGAGTGTTTAAAAAAAAATAACAATATTCTCCAAAATAACATCGATCTATTTTTGTAAAACTGTTCATACTGTTCTCCTCTGCCATGAAAGATCTAAGTTAATATAAGGGTTGCCAGTAGCTGATTTTCACTTTAATTTTCTTTACACCTTGAGTCAGAAAAGGAGCACTTTAATTACCAGCTAAAAATCTGATTGTTTTGTATTCATATCTCACACTAATCCTAACTTTTAAAGATTGCTGCTGTATTTTTTTGACTATGTCCTCTGAACCTTATTAACAGAAGCAAATCAGTATCTCGCTATTAGTAACATTCAGTTTGTGGTTTTGTATGTTGGATCCACGGAGGGCAATTTCTGCCTCTCCTTTAGTGTTTTTTTTTTGTTTTGTTTTGTTTAAGTGACTGGCACTAAGTGAACTTGACGCTATCGGTTGCTGTTATTGGCTTTGGGGACCTGGTGAATACCATCGACTTACAAGTATATACAAGGGCTTTCCTAGGCTATTAGAGGTACCCAGAACCTCCTTACGTACTTGACAGAAAATTTGGAGCTTTCTCCCTTTTCTAAAGGAATCTGCCACCCTCCTTTCCTTTGCATGTGAGTTAACAAAATATCAAAAAATACTCTCTCTGTCTGTCTCTCTTTCCAAATGTTGGTGTCCCTTCCAGTCCCTAATTTGATACCTTGATCTATTATATAGAATCAAGGGAATGGTCAGCACGGAAGCTGAAGTGTATCACTGCAGGCTCCATGTGCGATGCAGCTTTTAGATTTCTTCTTTTTTTAAAACTGTGCTAAAGGATTTTCCCCTGAAAGGCACTGCCCTTTGGTCCATACTGAGATAAATATTTAATAAGCAAATCTTTACTTTAACATTGTTTTCATTTTTTGAAGGAGAGGGGATGTCACAGAATGAGATGTGCAGAAACTTTGTTATTCTTTTTTTAAGAAAAGGAGATTTGGGAGTTTTTTTCCCCTGCCCCTCACCTCCCCAAGCTTTAAAAAAGCTTGAATAATCAAACACAAACCCCTATAAGATACAGCATTCACATTTACAGGAGTTTGGGGGTTGATCAGCTTACCCACTGCATTTTCTATCTGTCCCTTATTCCCTTAGCCAAAACAATGTGAGTGTACAGAAATATTTCTGTATATATAACAACCTGTGACAATTTTAGCATCTGTATAGTTTGTATTCAATTAGAGACCTTTTCTATGGAAAGCTCAGTAATTTTTTATTAAAAAGATTACTATTGTTCATGTAAAACATGAAAAAGCTAATTGTTTAGTAGCAAACTGACAGAAGGGGGAAAAAAATCAGTATTGGTATATCTTTTAGGAGAACCAACAGAAAATCCAGGTTAATTTTGATTTCACTTTTCCTTTTTTTTTCCCTTTTTTCTTTTTTTAATAAGTTCTTGCCCTTCACAGCTATTTTCTTTCCTCTTTTCTTCCTGGAAAAATCAGACAGGATACCTTTACTGTAAGTGCCTCTGCCAACCTGGCCAAGGAGTGCAAATCTTCATTGCTGTCTGGTCTGCAGTCCATTTAGGCTACCGAAAAAAAAAAAAAAAAAAAAAAAAAAAATAAAAAAAAAAAAAATCAAAAAAAGGACAAAAAAAAAGCCACCACTTCTACTTCATCTTCTTTAATACTGCTTTAATGCAGGTTTGGTTGGTTTTGTTTTAGCAATGCACAGCATAAGCCTTTAAACTTCATTTCATTCCCTCTGTCATTCAAACTTCTGCAGTTACACAACGTATCAAATTCTAATCATGGTGTAGGTTTGCGCTTGCCAGACAGGTTTAAAAAGTGCTTAATTTTTCACTCTATTTGAGTCATTGCAATAGGGTCAACAAATCAGGTCAGCCATTTCTTCAATGTTATCTTTTAGAAAACTGTTCATTTCATGTCGGTTGAATATTCAGTTTTAAGCATCATCAAGCAGGTCCTTGTTTTAAAACTATTTTTTAAACTGTCTGTATGTGTCTAGTCCTGGTTAAAGATACAGCTTCATAATGCTATTTTTATTCATGATATTAGCCAGCTGTAAAATACAAGACCTTTATCTATAGCAGGCAAAGAAATTCAGGATTCATTTACAGGTTGCCTATAAAGTTGTGTAATTTGAAAAGCAGTGTTCATTATGAAAGAGCTCTCAAGTTGCTTGTAAAGCTAATCTAATTAAAAAGACGATGTATAAAGGTTCTTGAAAAAATTGTGGTTATTTGTGTGAGCTCTGTAGCTTCTGAAAACCTCTCTTTGGCATCTCCTTTCTAATTGATAAAGAGGGCACATGGATTTTTATTATTATTACTACTGTTTCAGCTCTGGAGAAGCCCCTGTTTCTTTCTAGCTTCTCTATAATTATCTGGGCATGGTGATTTTTTTTGACACTTGATCRTTTGACACATGATCATTTTTGACACTTCTCTCCCTTGAAAGCRTCACCGAGTTCAGGCTGGCTGGAGAGCAGGGACAGCGCTTATTTTCCACCGCTTTTTTGGGGGGGCAAAGCCAAATCCGCACTGGKGGGAGGTTTTGGATAAGGTTTCAAGGGAGCTCTCCGGTTTGGGTGGCTCCTGGTGAATCCGAGCCTGCAGGAGGCGGCAGCAGAACGGTAGATCTTGCAGGGCCAGGCACCAGCCCCTACAAGGGGCCGTGCAGCTTCCCCACATGGCTTTTTGATGGCTGTGCCTAACACAGCTGCTTGCACCTTCTCTGAAAAACTCCTTCCCATCCTCCTTTCATGCCAGACAAGGAAGAATTCTAGCGCTTGCCKCCATCCTGTGGCGATGGGTTTTGTTTTAATTCTCAAAGCGGAGCCCGGTGTGCAGGGGGAGCAGTCGGCGCAGCCCATCAAACACAGTGCCAGAGAAAGGTGACGTGTCCTATGTGTGTTGGAAAGAGAAGCCCTTGCCGAGCTGTCAGGAAGCTGGCAGCCCCACTGCTGGAGACAAATACCTTGTGTTCAAGGTCATTGCCGAAGGTCAGGGATGAAAGACTCGTCTGCACGTCCCCCCGCAAGTGAAGATACCACTGCTGGGCCCACCGAGGGCCTGGCGTGCAGCAGGGCTGCCAAATGGCAGGAGGAAACAAGCTCCCAACCCAAAGTCTTCAGGTGTACCCTGCCTGTGCAAATAGATGCTTGCTCTTGCAGACAGGGAACTCATGACTACTTTGAAGGAATTCATGGCACTCTGTGGGGTTGTTTTTGTTTTTTTCTTCACCCTCTTTTTTCTTTCCCTTTTTCTCTTTTCCTCCCTCCTTTTTTTTGGGGGGGTGGGAGGGGAAGTAAGGAAAACCTTGAATGGGGTTGACTGCTGAACCCTGCTGAAGCCTGTTTGTGCCCTTACACCCCTTCAGGAACTGTGCTGCCTCCAAAGCGTTTACTGTGTGAGCTCTCTGGCCCATATGGTAGGGCTGATGAGCGGCTGCTAGATGCAGGTTCAAGGTCCTCTATCCACCACCCAAACCAACTTCCTGCTCTGTTGCCTCCTACTACCACTTAGTTCCAGCAAGGCTTTCCCTACTGCCTTGAGGATGAGTATGCAGCACGTTTATTCCTCTCCTAAGGAAAGATGGCCTCTAGTTCGGGCAAGAAGGAGCTGGTACTAAGGGCTGTCTCTGCATATGCAGGGAGAAGTAAGATACAAATCACCAACCCGTTGGAGACAGGAATGAGCCCTTAGCAGGACAGTGACAGAGGAGGGAGTTGAACACAACTGGTAAAGGAGGATGAGAACAGACCGATGCATGAAGTTAAGGTAAAGCACATGTAGGAGATGAGTTTGAGGAGAAGGGAGCACAAATGTATTATGGATGTGTCTTTATGGGGAGGAACATGAAATGTGAGGAGAATATACTATAAACTTGCCTCAAGAAAGAGGGTGTCTGTGGGCAGACAACTGGTCATGTGTCCGATCAGCCTCCATGGATGTGTGTTGCAAACCAGTGTATTTTGTCTCTGAAGATGAAAGCTTCATGAGGCTTCGCTGTGTGAAGCAGCAATTGTTATTCTTCTCTGTCTTCGAGATGAAAGTTGGGCTTGGGGGCTCTTTTCCTCTTCTACAGCTCCCTTGTATGCAACGTAGTTGTTAATAGGCGAAAAGGTGACCAGCTCATTTAGCCTATAAGCCCAATACCAACATCTTCACGTGGCTGAAAGTCTACAGAGCAGCGGGGAGCGATATGAAGGTCACAGGTGTGAACTTAAAAGACTGGCCAGTATTGTGCACAGCTGAGTCACCGCCTCGGAGCTCTGCCTGCATCGGAAACCCTTCCTGTCAAACACAGCTGCAAGTGATAAATGAGCTGTGGGGTCTGAAACCTCAGCATGCAGGTCCAGTGCTCCTCTGGGCCTGTCTGTTTCACTGTGGTTTGCTAGGGCAGAACCAGTTCCTTCCTGGGCTCGGTTCAAGAGTTATGGTTGCATTAAAAAATGAATCCAAAATAGCTGAAGTGCAGAAACTTAATTGTTTGCTCACAAATAGAAAAACAAACACCTTCATACTTTGTTATTAAACTGGGTTGTGAGCTGGTATGTCACTGCCTAAAGAAAACCAGGGTCAAATGCAGGACAAAGCAAAAAAAATAGGGCAAGGCACTTGGGTTGGGAATGTCCCTTGCTTACATTAGTGTATGGAAGCAAGCTTTACAAAGCCATTAATAAAATTTGTGCTATAGTGGAGGAGATAAGGCAACCAGAAATTTGGAGCCTGATCAATTTTTGCCACAGGCCTGAGATGTTTCTTAGTAGAGCAAAGATGGGAGGGACCTGTCAAGAGAACAACCCACAGAAAAGCAACCACCAGCACCAAACCTGAAAAGTGAGTGCGGAACCCTAAGTTACCAAAACAGAAAGATATTTCAGAAGACTTGTCATTTGGCAGCACCAGCACGCGTCACGGAGGAAATATTTACAGAAGGAAAATGTGATTGTGGAAACCACGTCTGTTAGGTACAGGGAGCGGGGGGCACGCGTGGTACCTGAGCCTGCTTTCTGAGTAGAGTCGAGCTGAGGGTGTTGCTGTTAGCAAAGGTGGCTTTCCCATAGCGCAAAGTCTGAGCTGCCGCGGGGGCTTTGGGGCTTCTTTCGCTTCCCCTTCCCCAACTGCCACATCATAGTAAGCAATACTCTATTGGGCACGCACTCTAGCAAAAAGCCTAGAATAAGTTACCTCTCTTTTTGTCTTTTGACTCTTTTTTTTTTTTTTTTTTTTTTTTGGGTTGTGTGTAGAACTCTCTAAAGGGAAGTAGGCAACTGAATTTCCTTCAGCTGTACTATCAGAATGGTTAGTTAAAACTGCACAAGTAGGAAACGACCTTGTGTTGTTTCCTGCAAACAATCTTGTGAAGATTGCCACAACATCAAGTATGACATTATTACTGAAGGAATATGTTTTACAGTAAAATCAGGCTTGTACAAATCCAGGAAAATGCATAGTGTAGTTTTGGGGGGATTTTTTTTTTTTTGCATGATCATTTTCACTTATGACTCAGCAAACTTGCYCACGTTAGCTGTTATCAGCCCTACACGTTGCCAGAATGCAGAAATTCTTCAGAAAGCTGCTTGGGAAGGAAGAGCCTGAAACAAGAGCGAGCAACTGGCTCCGCCTGCTGTTCCGAGCCGGGAAAAGCAGATCCTGGAGGAGAGAGAAGGAAAAAAATGTTTTTAATAGATATGATAAAGAAAGGAGTTATTCTATSCATTTTAGGTGGACGTTTTTGTGCTACTCACGAAAAGGGTGTAGTCTGGTTGTTTTTTAAACTTCAGGCAATCAAGAGAGACTTTTTGTTGCCTTTCATGGTGACGGGGTAAGCTCTTGTTTCGATGCTTGCAAGGCAGCCTTATGGCTCTGTCAATGTGTTACCTATCACTGTACATCCACTAGGAGCAGGGGTGAAGGAGCAAGCGAAGGCGGGACGTGGTTAGGAGGCACCTCCAGTGCTAGCGGCGGATTTGGGAGCCGGCTCTGCTTTCCTCGGGCACAGGGAATGGGAAACAGCGGGTCGGTTCCACAGACCCTCAGCACCTTTGTTTGCCGTTTGTGCTGCTGAAGACGCTTTCCTGCCCCCACGGTGACGGAGCACTCGCAAGCGGAGCCGCCTACGAGGGGAGCGAGGCGGCGCCGGCCGCTCGTGGCTGCAGCCTGGCAAGGGCCCGGGAYGGCCGCCCCTCTCTCGTGGAAACGACCACGTTACTCCAGATCACAGAACGTGCTCCTCTCCTGATGGCAGGCTTGGCAGAGCCCCTCACGGCCGGTGGGTTGGGTGGTGGCCTCTTCAGCTGGGTCTCGGCTTCACAGACCTGACCAGGCCGGGACCCGTGTCAGCGCAGCCCAGGAGCAGTTTCACAGGAAGCCTCTTCCCTGAAGAAAGGAAGGGAGC